TGAACACAATTATGTATGACATTTTGCATGAGATTGTCGTTTTCCTGTTCAAATCAGCATTTTCTTCCGACTTCTGGCCGGCCAAATGTGGCTGGCCACGGCCACGCCGGAATTCGGCCTCCGAAACGCGACCAAGTGTGACCGCTTTCCGTGGCCGCTAACGGCTGGCTACATGACGCCGGAATTACGTTTTCCGCCACGCGCCTTGGCCACGCCCCCATCTGGCCATTTGGCCATGGAAATGTCGCACCGGAATTCGGCCTACGGTCATAGCATTCGTTAACAGAATTTTGAATCTGGTCTCTATATCGCGTACTAGATCAAGCTTCTTATAAAAACTTCGCAAACAATAAAAACAAATGGTACCGCAGGAAAAGGTCCTGTGCTTGGATGTGTGGATTGATGAGGCTCGTTCTCCCGCTTTGCCTTCAGTCTAAGCCTATGTTAAAGCTTCTGGAGGCATGTTGCAACCTTACGGAATGTAACCCGTCAATTATGTGTGAAATTGCAAATGATGACCCTACGCTCAGGAAATCAACGGCATTATCAGATAGATGAGTAAAAGCGAGTACTGTAATCCTTGCCAGATGATAAGTTGCCACCCTGTTTGCTACGATATTAGATCGATGATGATCGGTGTAAGTTAAGCATTGCAACATTTTCTATAATGCGTGCTCAAAAGTCTATTGTACTCTTCACAAAGAGTGGATCTGATGCTAGATCGGGTAGAATCGTAGATAACTCTTGATCAACTCTCAGTCCTCCTCCATGCTTGCTAAGCCACACGTGATCGTTTTCATGAAAAACGTTGATATAAAATTTGGTAGCAACATATTTGCTGCTCTTATATTTTAGCTTCTGCAAAGTTTAGCCAACGTAGCATATGGGTAGTCTTCCTCATATCTTGCTTGTACCTGGTATCATTTGCTGCCTCTCTTTTTTTTTGTAGTACATAGGAAGGTTCCCTTTGACTGTGTACAAAATTTGTGGTCCTTTATGTGATTGACTTTTGCATGCACATTGTAATGAATATCTTTGATTTTCACCGCTTATAGGCATTACATGAGCTATACTGGGAACAACCTCTTTTTCAGAGATTCCGGCACGGCGAACAGAAGCCGAACACGTCTCAACAGCAGTTACACCGCGAGGTAAAAGCTCTTTTTGTCGTCCCACGAGCTGCATTCGCCCTGGAAAGGCTGTGTTTCGGAAGCGATGAACTGGTTTGCATGTCTCAAACCTAGGATGGCAGCTCAATCTGGGCGCAGGGCTGTGTTCCTACTGCAGACTTGGGTAAGTGAATGCTTACCCAAGCTCATCCAAAAATAGTCCCGAACGCGTGCCCGCTTTCCGCGGCAGCACTTGGGTGGACGCAGCGGTCCTGCGGCGGACTTTCAAATCCGCGCCGCACCCCTGACAGATTGCTGCACTGGGTCACGGTTTACCCGGGCCTCAGCCGGCTTGAAGAGTCGAGCGGGGCTCGTCTCGAGCGGAGACACGACTTAACTTTGATGCTCAACCAGCGGCTCATATACACCTCCCAGGGAGCGCGTCGCCACGTGGCAAGGAGCAGGTTGAACGACACCACAGTTCATCGGGCAGTAGCTAGCCCCCTGAACGCAGCCGAAACACAAGGTGTGCTGCTCGCAGCAGTCGGAACGCAGCAGTTCTTCCTTATGTAGCTATGTTTGTCTTCCATTTCTTAGGGGCTGTGGCTTCGCAGGGTATCGCTCAACTCCTGATCTATGGATCGACTGGAGCACAAATGAGATGCGGTAAAATGCGAAGAGAGACAGAAATTACAATTAGTTCAGACGGGATGGACGCGGGATGTTAGCTCAAACTTCGGAACATTCACAACATTCGCCACCAGCCGCAGCAGCGACTACTCCGAAATATGATTCTTTTTTTCTTTGTCAGCTCTCCATGAAATTGCTTCTGCTTGTTAGCGCTTGCTATGTTATCGTATAATAAAGTTCTATGAACAAGACTTGTAATCGTCCTCCTCAACCTTCTTCTCTTTCCTTTCCTTATTTTCCGCTGAGGTTCGGATGAAAAGCCGGTAGTTAACCTTTTGGGAGCAGAACTGGCACCCTGATCCTTACCACATCTACACACACTTCTTGAGGAAGTGTTAGGTATAGTCTTCCCTTCTCCTTGTCCTCTTAATTTTCAGAGGATCTCAAAAGTTAAACTTGTTTCGCTTTCCGTTTATTTTAACTCCAGTTAATTATATTAAGTTGTTGCGAAATTAATTGCCGAAATGGGCCATTCAGTTCAAAGTGTTGTAACTCGGCTCAAACACCACTTTTTTCATGAGTTTTGCAACTGTTCAATTCGGTAGATCCACCCCAACAATCCAGCTTGAACTGCAGGCCTTTACAACAAAAGCTGAGATCACAAGAATTCGCAAACTTTTGGAAGGCAGGTTCAGCATGCTTCAGATCAGAAATCTGCTGCTGTCGCAGGATTGTATCTGGAGCTTGGAAAAATGATATACAGTAGGTTAATGGTCTGAGGAATAAGGGCATTGAGTGAGAACCTCGATGCGTTTATGTGTCAGTTTTTGCCGGGTGAGTTTTGGAGTGTGTGGCTTGATGGTACCCTGGAGCAATGGAAAACCAGCTTTTGTTCACCACTGCCAACCACGTCAGATTAGCGATCAGATTAGCGGATCTCGACTCGAAATTACAACACTAAGACTCTGCTGTCAACGTTTGACTAGGTTGTAGAAAGGTGCAGTCAATCATACCCTTACAGCACCACCGAAGTCCTGACACAACCTCCCTAGAGAGAAGATCGTATTTGGGAAAAACTAGAAGTGGGAAGTCGTCTCCACCCATACCCTTTCGCATTTCTTGTTATCGTACAAAAACCGAGCTTCAGGCACTGCACTTACATGCTCTACAAATTAGTCGGAAAAGAAAGAAAAAGATGTCAACCAGGTAAGACTTTGGTCATCGGTCAGATCGTGGGGTATTCACGTCCGCACCTTTCTTACCCTGTTGATCGAGGTCAGATGTTTTGACACTGCAGCATAGTAAGCATCCACCCCTGCTCTCATCGTACAGATCGTAAGATCCGGTTTAGGTTCCAAGGCTGCCTCAACGCCTGATCGTCTAGCGACATCCCGCGACCACGACCATGGTTACATTTGAGTTTTAAATCGTAGGAAGAGAACCTTGTGAAGTTCTAGCTCACCGTCCATTGGGGAGGCGATTCCAAGCCACAACAAACGCAAGATTACCGCATACCTCTGACAAAGAGTGATCGAGTCTGAAGTCATCAACCATAGTCACCCGAAAATTGCGCCGGCTCATCATTTGTTCGCGACTTCATAAAAATCCTTAGGAAGGAGCTAGTCAGAATGTTCAAGCAGCATTTGAAAGAGGAAGAAAAGCTCTACAAGATTTTTACATAAACTGAGCCGAATTTGCTTAAATTAGACAGAAGAGAAAAGTTTAGTTGAGCATACCTCGGAACGGCAATTATTTCCGCAACAACCTCAACAACCTGATATTAACTATGATCTGTTAGCTCAGATAGGGCACGCGAAACGACTTTGTCTGCAATTACGACTAGGATGCGTTTGGAAAGAGATTCTACTAAATGGCAGTAGGGAAACATCAAAATGGAAGCTAAACAACCACATACATATCAAAAAGTGTAAAAATTAGGTCATTTGGCCGATTTCGTGATGAGTTTGTAATTGCAGACAAACTCGACCCAGGTGCCACCTCTGAGCTAACAGACTATGCGCGTCATAATGTTCCTGCCAAAAGCTCACTGCTGCGACTAAGATATTTGCTTAGAGGCATGCCGAACCTAAATAATGGTCTTCGTTGACCCGGGAGAAAACTTATTGACACCTGTCCTTTCTTGAAACTCGAAGTTTGGGAATATGCCCAATTGTGGACTTATCCTACATACCTTCATAGGGTTGGAAGAAGTAGAGTTCGCACCTCTTTTGTTTTACAATGTCGCTGAACGCGACCACGATGGTCAGGGAAGAGGCATTTTCTCATGAGATTTGTTTTCTTGTACGTAGATAATGAAATGCCAAAGACTTCAGATAAGGTATTAAAACAGTCTTGCGGTTACACGGTGCTTCTCGCTACTTGGTCTCGTCATCACCTCAGTACGGCACCCATTTCTTCACATCTTCATCGGAATAACTCATAGAAACCCATCATAACTGATCCTACTTCGAGCGAATGGCAAAATAATTCATCGAGCGTAATAAGCTCATATTGAATTTTCTCCTCTCGTTCCATTTGTACCGGGTGGCCATCTTTGTTTGGAGAAGCTTTTGAGGCGAGCTCTTTAACGGGTAATTCAAGCCATACGTGCAGGTCAACGATTGGTGTATCGACGGGGAGTCGAACACAGCCCGCCCGCGTGGCAGGCGAGCATTCTACCGCCGAACCACCACTAGTACAGTTCAACGATTAGTAGAGCAAGGGGTAAGGGAATCAGTTACCTAAGCGATAAGCGCTGTATAACCTATATAATCTGTGGCTTTTCAGCAGGATATCGAGAAATTTTGCGTTTAGAAAGAGGGCGCAATCACCATCGACACCAGTTGTGAATCAATATAAAGTCTCTCGGGTGAGACTTACTGAACTAGCTATGCAGGAGATGCAAGTCACGTATTCTCACGAATATGAATGACAACATGGAGCAGCGTGTTTGCGCGTGGCCGCAAGTGCAGATTAACATTCCTCTGCACATGGCATCTTTTCCCCATATCTTGATGCTTCAGCTTCACGTAGCACCACTGAAATCCCCGCTCCCTAGTACAGAAATGAGCTTCGCATACCAGATTTCCACGGGAACCCCACAGCATTCGAGTCATTTCGGGAAGTGTTTTCGGAGCTCGTAAATAAACAACCTTATAGTGATTTCGGAAAGTTGAGCTCTGAAGAACTTTCTACATAAGTGATCCTCGTAGAACGCTGCCATAATCCAACTCCAAAAACAATTTCATACTGAAGAAATGAACACCAAATTACTACTGGAACAGTTGGACTCAATTGAGGGCCGCTGCCAATGACCTAGTGGTCATTCTAATACCTCTCTCGCTGCGAGACTCACATTGACGCCCTCGAGTACAAAAGTAAGGTTCGTCACAAATTTCCCCGAAGCATGCAGAAGCAGCTGCTTTTCAAAGAATATGATGATGATAGCGTCTGGTCTATGAACAAAATTATACCTGAAATTCGTAATATCATCAAGAAACAGATCAACTCAAGTGAAATCCTTAGAGAAGGAGCTACTGTCACTTGATCAGGACCTTTCCGATATCGACCACCACATCGAAGGCGGAGAAGGACTTGAACGACCAATGCGGGAAGATTAATATTTTGTCGCAAGAAGAAAAGAGGCAGTTACTACACAACTTTGAGGAGAAGATTAATTCAATGCAGGACAAGATAGAGCAACCTTAAGAGATGCTTGCCAAACCGCAAATGTTACTCCTCAAGCGATCTTCAGCGTCATCAATAACTTCTGTCGAAGGTTCGTGGAAGCAGAACAAGGCAGTGTGGATGAAGAGGAGGACAAAGATTACATGGCAAGGTTGATTGAAGAAACAAGTGAAAAGAAGGATGAAGATTTGGGGATAACAAGAATGTGCAAACTCGATTCCAAGCAAGTGGACGAAGACAACAGGCGCCATGTCGACATGTTGGAGGACGACCTATTTGAGTTCAAGGAGACTTTGCTCTCCCTACCACAGTGCAAACTCTGGGAAACCTCATAAGGAATGAACACAACAATTGTGTGCACCTTTTGCAAGGATAGAGAACGTCATTTCACTGATTCTTGCTCATCAATGGCAAATGGAGACGAGCGCTACAACTTCGTTCCAGACAGTCGTGTGTGCCGTTTTTGCCTAGAGAACTGCAATCCAAGAAGAAGATGCCGAACCGAAGGCAAGAGTTGGTGGTACTGTGAAAGGGTCAAGGGATCAATATTAGAGTGCTTCATCCTGCTAGATGGTGGCCACCACGGAGCCCTCTGCAACATTCCTGATGCAAGACCCCCGCATCCTAAATTGCATTGATGAAATCAAGGAAGATATTCAACACCTACGTCAGTCAGACGACGGCGCGGGGAGTGTCGCCGAGCGCGACCGCGATGGTCAGGGAGGAGGCATTTTCTAATGAGATTCGTTTTCTTGTACGTAGATAATGAAAAGCTAAAGATTTCAGATAAGGTATAAAAACAGTCTTGCGGTTACACGGTGCTTCTCGCTACTTGGCTTCGCCATCACCTCAGAACGGCACCCATTTCTCAACGCCTTTATCGGAGTAACCCTCACTGGAACCTACCATAACTCATCCAGTTTCGAGCCAATGACAAAATAAATTTCCGTTGTCCATTGAGCTTAACAGACTCAATTTGAATCTAACTCTCTCGTTCCATATGTTCCGCTTGACCAGCTTTCTCAATAAAATCTGCTAAGTCGAACTTTCTAATAGTTAAATCAAGTCAACACATGCACGTCAACAAGTAATCCCCACTAATCATTGGAAGTCAGTGAAAGCGACACTGACATTGAATGCTCTGTCTTGTATGCATCGAATGTATATTTTGCGGCTACTGCATAGAGCGTGGAACACGGCTGTACAAGTGATATTTTAAGTGGGCTCACGTGGCACATAGTAAATACAATCATAATAGAAAGGTTCAAAGTAACGTATTCCGAAGGATCACTTGTACTGCTCTCCCTGACTGAGCTTCTCGATATCGTGAAGTAGCACATGACATTGCACATTGCGTTAAACATTATTGCTTTCCGTAAGACCACTTCTGTATTTCTCGATGTCCTCTGTGTGCATCAGGCACCTGAACAACGTTATTCAAGCTATTTACTACTTTCCGATGTGATAGATGACTTGCCTGTAATGTAGGACCGGTACCAGTCCGTTCGTTTTGTGTTCGCTGTGATGGAGGAGCAACCACGGAGTGTTCGCCTCCAATGGACGTGGGCTCGATCACTGAAAACAATTAGGCTTCGTGAGTTTCTTCTGACAGTGGAGATGCAATGGAAGCCGTCGCCGCAATCAAAATTCTGTTAATTATGGCCTAGACGTATACGCTATCGTTTCAATGAAGATCGTTATTATAACACAAAATTTGATAGCAGGATATTTGCTGCTTCTGTATTTTAGTTTTTTTTTTCAAGTCCTGAGGATGTGACTGAATTGAGCTCGCATGGATTCTTTAGGAAGATAGTTGATTCTTATTTTAAAAAATGCAAAGTTCAGTTAACGTGGTCTGTAGTCTTCCTCTTCTTCCTAGCCTTCCGTACATTTTTTTTTCCTATTGAGTATCATTTGCTTCCTTTCTATTTTTTGTGGAACGGAAAAATTCCATCACAGTTCAGCGAGTGTCTTATCACAAGATTTTAAGCAGAAGTTGAACTTAAAAACCACTACTGAGTGTAAATGGGAAGCAAATATAATTTTCCAAGATTCGTCAAGGTACGCGTTCTCTCAAATCGTTAATGATTATACCGCTACTGGAGAAATCCTTTGCGCTCAGAACACGTCGCAGAATGCCAAAAGTCACCACATTCCCATTTTTATTGGGAATGTAATGCATTGCAGTTGCATTTACTCCACTTTAAATATTCTCGTCACCAGTGGGAAGGAATACTCTTCTTCTGCTTATTCTTTCGAAGTATATTGTTTTCCGAGCTGATTCATGAAAAACGTAGCAGATAGAACAGGAGGCCAAAAATGCCCCGCGGAATGGGAAACTCAGCACACATAATGGGAACTCCATATGTACGCAGACAAGGGTCGGGACCGCGGCACGGCTCTGTTGGGTAGACACGTAGGCGCTCAGCATGCGGAGCGCCCATGTCCCCCGCGGTCCCGACCCTTGTTTGCGTATATTTGGAGTTCCCTATAGCTTGTGACAAATGGGTGTTGACTCGGAAGGAACGACAAGTCCTAAGTACAATTTAAGCTGACACAGGCTGATAAGGTGGCACAATGTAGATGCAAGGGCATAGAAGAGTAAGTAATGACTTTCTAATGAATTGTTTGGGAACGAATAACACCTCCTCTATTAATTATCAAATCTTTTCAATTTTAACCAGTTCCGCGAAATAAAGCAACTGTTGGCATCATTTCATTTTTAGAGCAGACTAGCTGGCATACCCGTCTTCGCTCGGGTGTTTTACCATCTCGGCTACTTCACACTGCTGTGGACAATTTCTACTGCGGTTTTAAATTTATTAAAACGCCCATAACTCTGGTGATCAGCATATTAGTAAATCTCAAGTGACCTTTTTCCACCGACTTGTGAACGAAAAGTCAGCAAATTTATCTCGATGGCACTGAATCGATGTATTCCTGTGTATTCCTTCCGATATATCGTCATATTCATGCTCAGTGTATTGAGGAACCCCAGTAGACATGCCCTCACCGCCCAACGGAGTAGAAAACCGAAAAATCAATAAAATCGATAAATCAATTTTTCGTGCGAAGCGGTCGTCGTATTCGTTTCCAGCGTACTGGGAAACCACCATATACATGTCCTTGCCCGTCTCCAAACGAAAATGGGAAGAAGATCGATAAAATCAATAAATCGATATTTCGTGCGGAATGATTGTCATATTCGTGTTCAGCGCACTGAGGAACCCTGGCAGACATGTCCCCACCGACCCCTGGGCAAAAACAACGAAAAATCAATCAAATCGATATGATCGATAAGCCAATCGATAATCTGGGGTGTTGAGTAGCCTCTAACCTCGGCCGGCCCCTGAGGGACCTATATGCAAAATTTGGTCCCGATCGGTTCATCCTCCGCGACTTCTATAAGGAACATACACACAAACACACACACACACAAACTTTCGCTTTTATATATACAGATTTCAGAGAAGGCTGAAACATACCATGGATTTTCACATCTGATTCAGCATCTAGCATCAGTCGGAGACAGGATGCACATATGCCCATGAGCGTTCGACGTACTCAGCTGAAACATGACAAATATCATTCGTTAGTTAGACTAGCGCCCCTACGGGTCGCTAGAAAGTGGGGTGGGGCAGCCACTTGAGGTATATGCAAAGGTTCACGCCCACGAAATCTTTGGAAATTGAAAATGAAACGAAAGTAGCAATTACATGAGCTTGAATAAGAAATCCTGCTTATGAGTCGTGTGTGTTCTACCACTCTGGTCGCTTGGTCAACTCCGGAAACGCCCATCCATGCCATGTATTAGGTTGGTGCATAATTAATGCGGCTTTTTTCGCAACTCCATTCCTCTTTAAAAATTAACGCTTCTTGAACGGTTTTTTCATATAAATATTCCTCTTCTTTCGTATAGTAGCGCTGCTATCGAAAACCCTATCCATATTCACCATCTCATGCTCTGCCACTTCGGGAAATGTAGGGTTGCAGGACAGTCATTCCGCGA